GTTTATTCCAAACAAAATGGCTTAGAACAGGTCTCTTTGATTAATGGATAGTTGCAGACAAGTTCTCCCAGTAATACACTTGTCTTAGTCTTGTTGTTGTTGTATAGGGTACATGCCAGCTCATGTGTTCCCTTTGAGTTTCAGTCTTAGAGGGGGACCATAATCTTTTAAGCTAACCTCTGCCTTGAAGTTAACTGGTCCAGAAGACCCTCTTGGAAGCCACTGTTTGGATTGGACTTTTTTTTTTTTTTTAAAGGCATTCTAATAAGAATAAGACAAGTGCATTACTGAGAAAACTTGTCTGCAGCCATCTACTGATTACAGAGGCATGCTTAAATGTGTTTTGTTTGGAATAAACTCATGCCTCACTGAAGTGGAACCCTTGTAGCAAGACTTTTTGACTTATCCTTGTTTACTCTTCTAAATTCTCTTCTATGTTTTTCTTAGTAGGTATCCAACTGATTTTCCTAAGCATAGTTTTAAATGATACTGAAAAGGGATAATACATGTTAGTCAGGGAGAATATTGTATATTGCCCTGAAGAGAATACCAATGGAAGTTTTACCAGTTTGCGATGACTGATGTTTCTCTTTTGGGAACCAGGTCATCAACCCCATGGGATGGGATGCATTTGGATTGCCTGCCGAAAATGCAGCTATTGAAAGGAATCTGCATCCAGAACTTTGGACACAAAGGTATATGTTTACTGCCTATCTATTCAAACACTTGTATAAAGAAACTTTTAAACCAAATTTTTTTAATGTGTGCACAAGAAATTGAAAGCCAAGCAAACAAAACACTGCAACCTGACAAACAAAAGGATTCTATATGTTGATGTTTATCTCTTAGCGTGCTGTATTCTTTTTTTTTTAACTTTTTATTGTGAATTGAGTATCGGTTTATAGAGCATTTCAACAGTTTTACACTCAACAATACATACACTTTATTTCATCTCAGTTGTAGTCCCCTAACTGTCACATCACTTGTGCCACTTCCTCCCTGTGTTTCTTGTTTCCATTCCTCCTTCTTTCCCCACCCTTCTGAACTTTGTCCTTAGGTAAATCTGCCCTTTTGATCTCAAATGATTGACCATTTTATGGTGTGCGTTGTTGTTCCTCCTCTATACCTGTCTGCTGCTTGGCTGAAAATTGAGCCGTAGGGGAGAGTTCACTTCCAGACCTGAAGGATGACCAAAGACCGTAGTCTTGGATTCCCCTAGTCTCTTCCCTGACAAGTAAGCCTGGTTGGTTGGTTTTTAATGATTTTGAGTTTTATTTCACATTTTCTCTCACTGTTTTGAAAACCACCTACTGTGATCCTTTTCAGAGCAGTTGGTAGTGGTAGCCATGCACCATTTAGTTGTGGTCTCAGGGTCATGGAGACTGATGGTCACGTGGTCATTAGTCCACTGGACTCATTCTTTCCAAGCATCTTCAATTTTCATCACTCTTCTTTCTTCTGGACAGGGAGAACTAGATAGTTCACCTTAGATGGCTGCTCATGAGTTTTTAAGAACTTAGTCACTACTCACCAGAGTAGGATGTAGACCATTGTTGTCTTTGTGGACCAATTGACCATGTTATTCACCAAGAGCCCCTAGGCCCAGCAAGTTATTCCCTCAAGGTGGTTGGTAATGTCTAAGAATTGTTCATCATTTTGCCCCCTATAGTCTCACTATGGGAGCACAGTTACTCCATGCGATAAGCACTGGACTATGAACCAGAGGACTGCAGTTCGAGCCTTCCAGGTGTTCTGCAGGAGAAAGATGAGGCTTTCTGGCCCCTCGAAGAGTGAAAATCTAGAATCTAGGAGTCAGTCAGAGCCAGCTCCATGGCACTTAACAACAACATTCTTTTTTTTTTTTTTTTTTGACCCCCACAGTTTAAGGAATTTTTATTAAAGCAAGAATTTTATATTCCAAATTATGTTTCCTTGCTCAGTTATCTATTCTATCACCTAAAACAGAAATGACATTCTGAGATTTTCCACAGTAAAGAATTATAAAAATTAAAGAAAGGAATGCTTTAATTTTTTGTTCTTTGCTGAAAATTCTTATTTTCAGCAAAGGTTCTCTGGTTACGTAGTGGTTAAAAATCGGGCTGCGAACCACAAGGTCAGCAGTTCGAAACTACCAGCTGTTCCACGGTAGAAAGATGAGGCTTTCTGCTCCCATAAAGATTTACAGCCTCGAAAACCCTAGACAGGGTCACTATGAATCGGAACCTACTCCACAGCACATAACAACAACAACAACTAAAACATTAATTTGTTTTTATATTTTACTATTTTTGTGTGTTTTTTGTTTGTTTTTAAATGAGTAAGTAATTTAGGACTAGCATTATTTGCTAGAACTGGCATTTGCTCGGTAAGGAAGGTTCAAAGTTCCCTTTTTTAAAAAAAATTTATTATATATTTTGCAGTATATTTTTCCCACATTATTTAAAGTTTGTCGATGTTCAGGTATTTTTCTTCAGTGAAGCACAAGTTTCTTTTCATGGTCCCTAATCATTCTAAACAGTTGGAACACCAGTGGGCCTGCAAACAGCTTTCTGGGCAGCCGCTCTAGCTTGTTGGGCTTGTAATACCAGCTACAGCTTCACCAACCTAGAACAAAGAAACTCCAGTGCCTCAAGCATATGAAGAAGTTCTGAATTATCAGTGTCCAACAACATACCAGTGATTTCACCAGCTTTTGCATGGTGACTTGTGGCTGTGCATTAAGACACAACAGCACCATTCTTATCTAAGAAATAGCTAAGTTTTGGGGAACTCATCCATGTGTTCAGTTTGATGCTTTTTTATTTGCAAAGTTATTCTCCCCTTCTTTTAGTATTTTCATTTAGAAGGAAAAGATCACATCGGATTTCTGAGCTGCTTTTCGTTTTCCCTTAAACTGTTGTTATTACTCAGTGCTGTCAAGTCAGTGCCGAGTCATAGCGACCTATGTAGGGTTTCTGGGGAGTGGCTGGTGTAGTTTGATCTATAGACAAATTCTATATTTTCATTTTCTCTGAAAATTCTGTTAAGGTTTGGTTCTATGCAGAAGCAATCCGAATTTAGGCACTCATTTTAGAAATATATAGCAACTATATTCTGGGTTGACTTCCTCCAGGTGTGATTATATTCCCAATCCCACCCACACCTTTGATTTCCTTGTGTTCATTGACCAGCAGTACCCATTCCTCTCCACCTGATAAAACCCTTAGCACCACTCACCAAAACCTGGAGGATACTCTGTTCTCACATCAGCCCCTTTCACAGAAGCCTGGAGTCTTTCCCCATTTTACCTCTCAGAGATGTAGGACAGTCGGCCTTTACTTCCTTTGCTTTATCTGGTCTAAGGCTACATTTTAATAATATTCTAGTGCACCATTCATGTCTCTTTTTTCTTCCTAACCCCTAGTTTCCACTTTCCCAATTATGGTTAATCCTAGATGAATGGTAGTAGTAGAACAAAGGAGAAATTATGATTCAAATAAAACTGATAAAATGTAACAAAAAATAGTCTAATGTAACCTAGACCAGAAGTTAGCAAACTGCCCCATGGGCTAAATCTGACTCACTGTCTGTTTTTTTAAATAAATTTTTGTTGAAACACAGTCACACCTATTTAGATATTACTTATGTCTGCTTTCATGATGTAATAGCAGATTAGTTGCAGCAGGGATCATATGAGCCACAAAGCTGAAAATATTTACCATTTGGCTTTCTACAGAAAAAGTTTCTACAGAAAAAATGCATTAAACACAGCAGTTAAGAAGATGGCCCCTATAGAGAAAAAAGAAAGAAAATCAGTAAAACCTAAAGTTGGTTCTTTGAAAAGATCAATAAAATTGACAAACTTTTAGCTAAACTGACAAAGAAAAGAAAAGATGTTGACACCCAAAATAAAACATGAAAGAAGGGACCATTGCAACTTAACCTCATAGAAATAAAGAGAATTATGGATAACTGTATGGCAGCAAACTGGATAACTGAGATGAAATGGACAAATTCTTAGAAACATGCATCCTACCCAAATTGACTTGAAAGAAATAGAAAGTCTCAATAGACCCATAACAAATAAAGATTGAATCACGAATCAAAAACTTCCCAACAAAAGAAGTTCTACAAATGAGACGATATACGATAGAATGAATGTAAAACTAATGTTCTCCCATGTAAACTATCACATAATTCACAATGAAACATTTAAGAAAAAAAAAAATCATTATGATGGAAAAAAAAAAAAAAAGTTCTACAGAACATTTAGAGAAGAATGAACACCTATAATGTTTAAACTCTTCCAAAAGATAGAGAAGGAAGAACTACTCCCTAATTTATTCTACAAAGACCCCCCAAGAAAACTACAGTCCATTATCTCCTATGACAATGGATGTAAAAATTCTCAATGGAATACTAGCAAACAGAATCCCACAGCTTAAAAAGTCATATACTGTGACCAAGTGAGATTTATGCCAAGAATGCAGGGATGGTTCAACATGAGAAAATTAGTCAATGTAATATAACACATCAATAGAATAAAGTAAAAGAACCACATGATCATTTCTATGGATGCAGAAAAAGCATTTGATAAAATTCAACATTCTTTCTTGATAAAAACCCTAAAGAAGACTGGAATAGAAGAGAAATTCTTCAACACAATTCAAGGCATATATAAAAGGCCAAATATAAAGCTAACATTATATTTTCTAGACAAAGACTGACAACTTTCCCTTGAAATCGAGAACAAGACAAAGGTGCTTGTTCTCACAACTTCTATTCAGTAATGCAATAGAAGTCTTAGCCCGAGCAATAAGAGAAATATATAAAAAGAAATGAAAGGTCTCCAGATTGGAAGAGAAGTAAAATTATCTCTATTCAGAACAGATGATATGATGTTATATATAGAAAACCCCAAAGGGTTTACAAGAAAACTTTTCTAGCTAATAGAGAAATTTAGAAAAGAGCAGGGTACAAGGTCAAGAAACAACTCAATTTAGTTTCTATTCATCAGCAACGAGTAATCTGAAAGAGAAATTAGGGAAACAATTCTATTTATAATAATATCTAAGAGAGTAAAATTGTTGTTGTTGTTGTTAAGTGCAATTGAGTCAATTCTGTATAGGGTTTTCAAGGAATGGCAAGTGGGTTTGAACCACTGACCTTTGGTTAGCAGCCCATTGCTGATCTACAGCACCAAACTAGGACTCCTTGAGAGTAAAATGCCTAGAAATAAATTTAACTATGGATGAGACGAAGTTAAACAATAAAAACTATAAACACTGCTGAAATAGATTTTTAAAAAGACTTAAGTAAATGGAAACATGATTGATGTTCATGGATTGGAAAACTTAATATTGTTAAGACTTATGTACTTCCCAAAGTGATCTATAGTTTCAACACAATCCTGATCCAAATTCCTGCAGCTTTCGTTATAGAAATAAAAAAAACCAAGCCTCAACTTGATATGAAATGACAAGAGGTCCTGAATTGCTAAAATACCGTTGAAAGAAAAGAACACGGTAGAAAGACTGACCCTTCCTGATTTTAAAACATGCTGTGTACAGTTATAATAATCAAAACATCCTGGTACTGCTTTAATAATAGATACAGGCCAGTGGAATAGAAATAAACAGAAAACACATACATATATATAAACAACTGATTGTTGACAAGGGTGCTCAGCCCATTTAATGAGGAAAGACGAGTCACT